CCATTATGTTAATAAAACTGTCACAAACACACATTCTCTCTCTTATTTCTCTTTTTATTCCTACTGCTACTTTGAGATCAGTTCTTCTCCCATTTTTAAATTCTGTGGACTTCTTGAAAGATATTTTTCGCTGGTGTGACCTGATTAAAATGTTTAGTTTAAAATAAACGTATACTATGATCCTTATAACAAAACTTTACTGGAATCTATGACATTATTTGCATTCTGTTAGAAAAGCAGGCTAATTCTAATTTATATTTTAACTTGAGGTTTCATGGCTTCCCCCCCAATCTGATTTGTAACCAAGATTCTCTTTCTTAAAATTTGTAAGATTTTTTTTAAAGTTCCAATGAGATTTCCAAGTATGTTTAGAGAGGTAACAGTAGTAACTATTTTGAAGAAGTGGGCTGTAGTCCACGAAAGCTTATGCTCTAATAAATTTGTTAGTCTCTAAGGTGCCACAAGTACTCCTGTTCTTCTTTTTGCGGATACAGACTAACACGGCTTTTACTCTGAAACTTGTTATTTTGATCCAGTTAACGTCAAGTATTTTTCATTATAAGAACTTTCACTGGTACACAAATGACTGGGGAAAGTCCTTTTCTAAAAGGATATTTAATAAAGAGATTCCCAGAAAAATTGTCTATTGATTAAAGTACCAAAGTCTGCCTCTTTACTTTTACCCTCACAATGGGCTCAAATTAACATAATAATGTCAACCTCATGTTCAAAAATCATAAGCCAGTGTCAAATATAACTATTGGCTTTAAAATCATTAGATTTAAAAAAAATAGTGTTGGATTCTTTATATTTTTCTCTATATATCATGTTTTCAAACTATTCTTCACAATTATGAGGGCTAGATTTGTATTTATTTATTTTAATTGAACACTAAGATTCTCATGTAATCAAATTATTCCAGAAGCTGGAGAGTTTAGAATGGCACCAACTACAAGAAGACATATGATAAAATTGTGTGAATTGGCAACACTGCCTGTATTAAATTTCTATCATAGCTTTGGGCAGCCCAGCAGTACTCACACAGTTGTCCAGGTAGCTTAGTTGTGCAAGGAAAATAAGTAACCCACATTGCTGAGTGTGCACAGAAGTTGTAGGGTCTGTGCAATGTGTGGAAATACCTTTTGTCCCACAACTCTGGTTCACACCTCAATGCGCGGGGCTTGAGAAAATTGACTTTGAAGTTTTTGGGGGGAGCTAGAATCGAGATACAACTGTTGCATCCCACAGTTCTCCTTCACCACATTTTTTGGGGCATACAAACAGCCTGAATTCAGAATTTGACATCGAACATGTAAACACACACACACACACACACACAAAAAGGTATGCTCCTTCAAGCATCAAATCAGTAAATAAAAATATTTAGCAAATTTAGAAATAGAGAGTCAAAAGCACATACAGTGCTAGGACCTATAATTAATAGGCTTTGTAATTAGTATGTATTCAATTACTAGTAAATAAATTCTAGAATGCATACTAATTACAAATGTTATTAGCAACGGACTACTATTAATATAAGGAACAATATACCCCAAATATGCATAATGTTGATGTAATTCCATTGAGGAGATTCTGATGGCATCATCAATTATGACAGCAAAGCTCAAGTAGTCTGTAAATTTCATGAAAAACCTGAGATGGAAAAACAATCTTAATTTATGCACAGCTAGTCAGTGCACTACTTAAGCAATAAGACATGATAGTGGTCTAAGGAACTTCTTGGATGCCCATGGACAATAGAATTCCTGCCTCCACACCTGGGCCCCAATGCTGAAAGGCATGTGCTTAACTTTACGCATTGTGAGTAGTGCAGCTGAAGCCAATGAGACTATTACACCTATTCTGAAATGTCTGAAAAAGCGACATTAATGTATAATACTGGAGGCAGAGGGAGTGGATAAGATGTTATGGTATAAAAGCATTACAAGAATTTGGGATGGCTATATTACTCACAAGATGTGAAGCAAAGGGTGAGTTATATAGGTCACCCCAAATGAGTGTCAATAAAACCCTTGTAACGCATTATGTATTCAGCATATCATCATTACACAAAAAAGTGTTCATACTGTATCTACAACAAGGGGGCCTTGAGACCATGAATAGGACTCCTAAGTACTACCACAATACAAATAAATAACCTCAAAAGATAACCCAAGGTAGTTTTTCTACTATTATTATTACACAATAAGGCCCTGATTCTACAAATATTTTGACTATGCTCAGTTTTCCTGCCCTGAGTAGTCCTACTGAAGTCAGTGGGGGCTAATTTGTGCCTAAGTATTTGTAGTACTGGAGCCTTGGTTCCTAAATGGGCTAGAAGCAAGTACTGCATATCCATTGGAAAGTTGGAAATACAGCTGGCTGAAAAATTAAAACTTATTCCCTCCTCCCCAACCCCCCAAAAAAGTCAAAGTTCCTTTCATCTTAAAGTGTTTAAAATACAGCCATCCATTTGTTTTTGTTTTTATGAATATTTAAAAATATTTTTCAAAACATTTATAAAAATTAATATTTGAAAAATATCAAAAAGCAATTTTTCACAAAAAAAACCCCTTTCACAATTCTTACAATTTTTAGTGAATAATGTAACTTCCAAAAAATCATTTTTCAACAAAGAAAACATTTCATATAAAAATCTTTGGCGAGATTTAGTTGAGAATCTCCCTGTAACAATAGTAGTATATGTTTCTGCTTTTAGAACTCATCGGTTGAAAGATATCAGACCATATGTGCTAGAATGTGTGGAACATACCTTTTTGCAGTGTTGTTATAGCCAGGCTGGCCCCAGGATATTAGAGACACAAGATGGGTGAGGGAATATATTTTATTGGACCAACTTCTGTTGGTGAAAGAGACACGCTTTCGAAGTACATAGAGCTCTTCTGTTCCATACTGGGCAGCTATCAGCATTCCAGGACTGAATATTGCCCATCCTTTACCACAGACTGGTATGAACTGTGAGCGAAATTTTTATTTCCAAGGGAAAAGGAGGAAACATTTTTGTGATAGGTTGATTTTGGAGGAAAATGGCAGTTCTTGGAAGTTACTCAGAGTTCTGGAATGTTAGAAATAGCAACAGGAGAGATACATTTTGTGGGCTGAGTGCAGGTGAGAAATCAAAGTTCCATGATAAATGCAGGTTATCACATAGATATCACACCAGCTAATTTATATTTAAATAGAATACTGTTGCTTGTTAAATTAACATTAGTTTTTATGGGGTTTTTTTGCATCTTGAAATTTGGTACACTGTCATTATATATTGCTGATTGCAGGGGGAAGACCCTTAACATTTGACATATCTTTTGAAATGTTTAAACACGACAAGGGGTTTTATTTATTCTACATCCCCTCACTTTTCTCTTTTTACATGTGTTTTAACTGATCGTTTCTTTCCCTTGCCTCCTTCAAGCTCTTCCACTCAGCCTAGACAATTGTAGACAGTCCATTAAAAGCCACGCTCAGGACCTCACAGTTCCCAGTTTCGTTATTCTCTCCTATTTTCCTATTTGTAAGTTATCTAGCTGTATATAGAAACAGCAGCACAACAACAGAGCATCTACAAGCGGCTTTCAGGGCAGCTCAGCTCTGCAGCTGTTCCGTGCGTGGAACCCGGCGCAGACAGGCCTCCAGAGAGTGGTCAGTCTCCTGTGGTTAGCAACTCACCTCTGCTTAGTCAGGTCTGTCCAAGCTGGAGGCACAGAGGCCCGTGCGCGCCTTTACTTGAGCTTTCAAGAGGGGTCTGGAGTGAGATGGCGCCTCCATCACTAGCGCTTGTTGCGAGATGCACCCCGGTCAATCAGGCCAGGCGTGAGGGTTTAATGAAGCCAGCCAGCCCAGATGGTGGGGCCACACTGAGAGGCAAGGGAAACCTCTGCCGTGAGACCTAGAAAGGAGGGCGGGATGAAGGAGGAAGGGCCAAGGGAAACGGGGGACGAGGGGCTAC